TAGCTCATCCTCAGTGGTTCTGCTTTTCTTTTTTTTTTTTTTTTAAGATTTTATTTATTTATTTGACAGAGACAGAGCGAGAGAGGGAACACAAGCAGGGGGAGTGGGAGAGGGAGAAGCAGGCTTCCCTCCAAGCAGGGAGCCCGAGGCGGGGTTCGATCCCAGACCCTGGGATCATGACCTGAGCCGAAGGCAGAAGCTTAATGACTGAGCTGCCCAGGCGCCCCTGGTTCTGCTTTTCTGATCAAATCCTGACTGATACAGTTACTGAGACTCTGAAGGATAAAGCCAGGAACCACTGTTTTTCATCATAAGCTATTTAGAATTACTTGGCTTTTTTTTTTTTTTTTTTTTACTATGCGTATTACTTTGATAAATGCTTTAAATTTAAAGGTAATGAGGAGGGGGCGCCTGGGTGGCTCCGTGGGTTAAGCGTCTGCCTTCGGCTCACGTCGTGATCCCAGGGTCCTAGGATCGAGCCCCGCGTCGGGCTCCCTGCTCAGCGGGGAGCCTGCTTCTCTCTCTCCCTTATGCCTGCCGCTCTGCCTACTTGTGCTCTCTCGCTGTCAAATAAATAAAATCTTTAAAAATAAATAAAGGTAATGAGGAGGTCCCATAGGGAAAGCTGGACAAACTGAATTACAAGATTTTTATTTTTTTATTTAATGTTTTATTTTTAATATTTATTTGAGAAAGAGCGTGAGCAGGGGGAAGGGCAGAGGGAGAGGGTGAGGGAGAGAATCTCAAGCAGACTCTGTGCTGACCATGGAGCCTGACTCAGGGGTGATCCCAAGACCCTAAGATCACGACCTGAGCTGAAACCAAGAGTTGGACACTCAACCCACTGAGCCACTCAGGCATCCCTATTTTTAAAAATTTTTTTAAAGTAAGCTGTCTGCCCAACGTGGGGCTTGAACTCATGACTCTGAGATCAAGAGTCACATGCTCCAGGCGCCCCATTGCATAATGGGTTTTTTCTTTTTTTTCTTAAGGAATTTGGTTATCCTCCTTGTCTTTTTCTTTTTCTTTTTAATCAGTAGGCATCTTTAAAGTTTGTTTTTTGTTTTGTTTTTTTAAGTAAGCTCTATGCCCAACGTGGGGCTTAAACTCAAAACCCTGAGATCAAGAGTCGCGTGCTCTATAGACTGAGCCAGCCAGGCACTACATAAAATTTTAAATTTCTGTCTGTCAGAAAAATGTGTATACAAAATAAAAACCAAACCAAAACAAAGGAGGAGAAATAGCTCACTTGTGTGGCTGTTGGCAGGAGGCTTCAGTTTTCCACAATGCTGGCCTCTCCATAGCTTTGCTCACAACACCGCTTCCACCAGAGTGAATGATCCATGATAGAGAAAGGGGGAGAGCACCCATACCCAAGACAGAAGCCACCATCCTTTTATAACAATCTGGAAGTGACAGGCCATCACTTCTGCCATATGCTGTTGGTCACACAGACTAACCCTGGTACAGTGTGGGAGGGGACCACATAAAGGTGTGAATTCCAGGGGCAGGGACCGTTAGGGGCCAGAGCCCTAGGGACTACTAGGAATCCATGTTAAGGAGATATGAAATGTAGACAAAAATGTAAGAAGAGGTTGTTTCTGGTATTGTTTAAAATAGTGAAAAATAACCTGAAGATCCAAATTCTGATATGTTTGTAATGGAATTTTATGCAATGAAAAATGCTTATAAAAACGCTCACTGTAGGGGTGCCCGTGTGGCTCAGTCGGCTGGGCGTCTGCTTTAAGCTCAGGTCATGATCCCCAGGGTCCTGGAATCAAGCCCCGAGTTGGGCTCCCTGCTCAGCCGGGAGTCTGCTTCTCCCTCTCCCTCTACTCCTCGCTGCTCGTGCTCTCGCTCGCTTTCTCTCTCTCTCAAATGAATAAGTTAAAAAAAAAATCTTTTAAAAAATGCTCAGTGTAAAAAATATAGAACTACATGAACAATGGTTCTGATTCTGTAAAACACCTACATGCATATAAACATATAAATAAGGGTGGAAATAAAATGTCAACAATTGACATATTTAGAATTAATAGTGAACTTTGTATTCTTATCTATACTTTCATTTTTTTGTAGTTTGTAGTTTGTATTACTTACATCTACTACTTATATAATCAGGGAAAAATGCTATTTTAGAATGGATATCTAGGCCAAAAGATGGTGTTACGAGCTGAATGTTTGTGTGCCCCCAATATGTTTATGTTGAAGCCCTAACCCCCACTGTGATTACATTAGAAGGTTTGGGCTTTGGGAATTAAGAGTTGGATGAGATCATGAGGGTGGAGTCCCCATGATGGGATTAGTGTCTTTATAAGAAGAAGAAGGGGCGCCTGCATGGCTCAGTCAGTTGGGTGTCTGCCTTCAGCTCTGGTCAGGATCTTAGGACCCTGGGATTGAGCCCCGCATCGGGCTCCCTGCTCAGTGGGGAGTCTGCTTCTCCCTCTCCCTCTCCCTTGTGCTCTCTCTTTCTCTCAAATAAATAAATAAAATATTTTTAAAAAAAGAGAAAGACGAGAGCCTTTCTCTCTCTCTCTCTTTCCACCTTGATTCTGCCAGCACCTTGATCTAGGACTTCCTAGCCTCCAGAACTGTAAGAAATGTTTAAGCCACCCAGTGTATAGTATTTCGTTATTCTATCCTGAAATAAGACACATGAAAACAACCCAAGTGTCCATTGGCAGATGAATGGATACTCAAAATGTGGTATATTCATTCATACAGTGGAATATTATT